GGCCTGGCCTCGGGCGTGGGCAGCGGCATAGCCCCGCGACGCCCAGTGGACCCGCAAACAGCTGCGAAAAACAAGGCAGCGAAATGACGAAAACGGACGTGCGGGGGAGCGCGGTTGAGTGCGGGTGAGTGCGTGCGCCCCTTTTCGTTCCGCCGTGGGCCTTCAGCGACGACCCCCTTCAACGTGCGAGGGAACCGTGTCTTCCATGACAATTTCGGAAAAGTTGAGCACGATTCATTTGTATAACCAGCAATGTTCTATTTCACCTCCTTCCGTGACAGTTTCGGCAAAGTTGAACACGATTCATTTATATGACCAACAATGTTCTATTTCACCCGATCTTAAAATGACCAACGATGTTTTATTCTCGTATCAAAGAAAACCAGATCTAAAAATCGCTACCTCAGCCAGCAGCTGCGCGGAAGAGAAATTGCTTTGAACGGTCCAAGGGCTCTTCTATTCAATGACTGGTATTCTTGCAATTTACACCGCCAAGTGGAAAACGATACATGAACACGCTGAGAACCATGGAGGAGTATCAAAGCTCACTACTCGTCGGACCGCTAATCGGACCCGCCCTCGCCGTGGGCTCCCTCGCATCCCATCTGAACAACCAACCCCGTTGCGACCTGTCAAGGTAGAGGAAGGGCATGTCGTAGTACGTGGTAGTAGTAGTAGTAGTATGTAGTAGTAGTAGTAGTGGTAGTAGTAGTAGTAGTGGTAGTAGTAGTAGTAGTAGTAGCTTTTGGCATTGACGCCTCTAAACGCATCCAACGCCTCTAATCCTCATTGGCTGAATGTAGTAGTAGTAGTAGTAGTAGTAGTAGTGGTAGTAGTAGTTGTTGTTGTTGTTGTAGTAGTTGTTGTTGTTGTAGGAAGCTCCAAACGTCCCTAAGCCTCTAAACGCCCCTAAGCCTCTAAACGCCTCTAAGCCTCCAAACGCCCCTAAGCCTCAATGGCTGAATGTAGTAGTAGTAGTAGTAGTAGTAGTAGTGGTAGTAGTAGTAGTGGTAGTGGTAGTGGTAGTGTATTAGTAGTAATGGTAGTCGTAGTAGTAGTAGTAGTAATAGTAGTTGTTGTTGTAGTTGTAGTAGTAGTTGTAGTAGTAGTAGTAGTGTGGTGGTAGTAGTAGTAGTTGTTGTAGTAGTAGTAGTGTGGTAGTAGTAGTTGTTGTTGTAGTAGTAGTTGTTGTTGTTGTAGGAAGCTCCAAACGTCCCTAAGCCTCTAAACGCCCCTAAGCCTCTAAACCCCCGAAGCCTCTAAACGCCTCTAAGCCTCTAAACGCCTCTAAGCCTCTAAACGCCTCTAAGCCTCTAAACGCCCCTAAGCCTCTAAACGCCCCTAAGCCTCTAAACGCCTCTAAGCCTCTAAACGCCCCTAAGCCTCTAAACGCCCCTAAGCCTCTAAACGCCTCTAAGCCTCTAAACGCCTCTAAGCCTCTAGACGCCTCTAAGCCTCTAAACGCCTCTAAGCCTCAATGGCTGAATGTAGTAGTAGTAGTAGTAGTAATAGTAGTAGTAGTAGTAGTCGTAGTAGTAGTAGTCGTCGTCGTCGTCGTCGTCGTGGTGGTGGTGGTGGTGGTAGAGGCTTAGGGGCTTAGACGCTTAGGCGCTTGGGCTTAGGCGCTTAGGGGCTTAGGCGCTTAGGCGCTTAGGCGCTTAGGGGCTTAGGCGCTTAGGCGCTTGATTAGACGCTTAGGCGCTTAGGCGCTTGGCATTGACGCCTGTAGGCCTCTAAAAGCCTCGAAGCCTCCAAACGCCTCTAAGCCTCTAAGCCTCTAAGCGCCTCTAAGCCTCTAAACGCCTCTAAGCCTCAATTAGTAGAGGCTTCGGGGCTTAGACGCTTAGGCGCTTGGCATTGCTTTGCATGGTCTTAGGCGCTTAGGCGCTTGGCATTGCTTTGCTTGGGCTTATGCGCTTAGGGGCTTAGGCGCTTAGAGGCTGGACGTCGAATTTCTTGACCCCTCCTCCTACTGCAATGTACCATCGTAATATCCAAACTGGAAATGTCATGCCTGCACTCGCTTGTAGTGACTTTGCGGATCCGTGTGCTAGATGGCTTAGGCAAAACATTGCTCACGCGTGATGCATAATTCCTAAAAAATCAAGAACGGTCATCGTGACCACCAGGATGGCCCCCCCTTGAGCATGCAAGGATGCGGCGAAGCACCCCGCCAGGGTCACCGAAGTTGCGAGGCGCACCTCGATTCCTGACCAAGTGTCACCTCAAGAAAACCAAACCACGCCTCACCTGAGAGTGTATTCGTTGCGTTGCAACAAGAGCAGCAACCAGCAACCCTGAACCGCATGAATGGCATCAACCGTACCATGACACGAGTTGGGGCAGCGTGACAATAATATAGTTAATATAGGATGCACAAAGGGAAAACTCAACTACTGCCATTGCTTCCACCAAACATCACCAAACTCTTCACCACCCGCTTCCCCCACCGAACTCTTCGCTCATGCCCGAACACGTCAGCAGCAACCAGCAAGCAGCCAAAGGCAATCAGCAGCACCAAGCATGCAAGCAGCAAGAGACCAAGCAGCAGCAGGTACTGAGGAGAAGGGTGGAGTTGAACCCGCGAGGGGGGGGGGGGTAAAGCCTGATAAATCAGGTATCTGCACTCAGGTCCTCGGCTCCCACCCTCCTTGCTAAAGCAAGACAGACTCCAGCTAGCTACAGCTAGCTTTCGTGATTAAAATAAGATGCTTTGTCAGGAAAAAAAGGTATTGGTTGAATTTGTTTTCTTGTATTCGAGGCATCCAGTCGTCATCTGGAGCCGGGAGCTTGTTTTTGTTGTGAGCCAGGGTCCTCATGGGTCCTCGAAGGGGAGGGAATCAAAATCCCACAAGCGCGGACATACGCTGACCATATCATTGACAACATCAATATGTTGCTAAAAGCCTTCGCACGATGACTCAGCCCAGGACCTAGTGAAGACAAATTTATAAGCAAAATATTAAAACACACAGGCTTGAAAACAGCCGTATATATGATATGTGGCACAAATAAAGACAAAAGGTTCTGCCATTCTGAAGGCCACGATTTGCAGAATCCAAATTGGTCCATCTAGATTTCTCCAACCTCGCACATCACCTGATCCGAAACACCTCATCTTACACCAAATCTCATATACTAACTTATTAACTTAGCGCATGGGTCCAACCAAAGAACCTGAACGATCAACAGGAAGGAACAAGGGATTTATATTCAGCTGGTCTGTTCCGGTCCTGCCTATTTTGTCAAAAAAGTCAAACAAACATGCGTCACGAACCTGGAGTAAAGAGGCCTCTAGTTAGTCATGGGAGGCTTCTTCAGTTTTTCGTCTCATTCTCACGACTTTCTCCGCTCATTCCTCTCCTTCCCCTTCTCCCCCCAGATCCCCAAGTCGCCGGTCCTATGTATTCGATGATCACTTCCTGCCCTGGCCTGGTCCGAACATGTTCGCTCGACTCGGGCAACTGTGTGGAGCTCATAGGAGGACAGTCGGTCCGACGGTCCGACTGTTTGACTCGCATAAAGGACAGTCGGTTCGACTGCTGAAACCGCAGGTTGTTGCAAAATGGAACAGTTCCATTTGATTCGAGATGGTGAGGGCTGGAATGTGGAGTTGTATGGATTTGTATGGATTTGTAGGTTGTATGGAGTTGTGGCTTTGTGGGTGTGACCCACAGCTCATAGATGCAATAAAGGTCGTTGAGTTTCAATGGTTTAGTGCTGATTGGAACCTCAACCCTTCTGATTCTTCTTGATTCTTCTCACTGCTTCCAAAGACGGACAAGGGCACTTGGAAATGTGTTCTTTTCAGTTTTAATGCTACCAAAAAAGTATACATAAAATAAGATATACAATGATATACACATTTAACATAATTAATTATAGACTACATGTTTCAAGTCCGAAATACGATTGCTCTAACCTGCGTAAAGATTCGTTGTACTCACAGCCATTGATTCTATGATGGAGCATGACTCAATATGACTTAGTCACATGTAGTTACGCATACACACACACATATATGTATATACAGTATATATACACACAACATATATGATAATTATGATATATGATATATGTTTCAAAAAAGATCCCGACTGACTGCTACAGAGCGGCTTCAAAGCCAAATATCCAGCATCAGGCGCATCGTACCTCACTCAACAACAGCTGAGTCACCTATCAACTTCCCGCTTGACTTGCACCCGTAGCAACATACAAACATGCAGTAGCTGTCATGAAATCAGCCCCGACATGACTGGGCTAACATCGAAAAAGACATCCGCACAGCATGGCTGGGGCGCTGTAGAATGGAAGGGAGGCAATTGCCAATGGACAGCGCCATGGCGGAGGGCTACATTCTCGGACAGCGCCGTCGGGTTTCCCTGAGAGATGTGAGACGTAGACCCCCAAAGACGGTTCCCCGATGTCCAAGCGTACCGGGACCCCGCAACGATCATGCAACGATGTATGGCAGTTGTGGAGCCAAACGTGAACCATGTTGAGACTGACTGGTCTAGTTGCAGTAAGCTGCCCAACAAAATGATAGATATACAGTAAGGACATTTGAAAGAGTGACATTGACAGGTCCAGTGCTCCCATGAGCCGTCTTCTTGCGCCACCCCCAGCCCGTGTCTGCTCCTTCATCATGTTTCGAGCTTTTTTGGAGCCATTAAACGGCGCTGTTTTTCGCTCACATGATTATTGAATGAATTGAGGCAACGTCCTCTGAAACAAGTCCCTCAATTCGTGTGGTGGTAGCTCCAATGCATGACAAATGGGGGCGGGTCTCGAAACACTCTAGCACTGGTAAGGACAAACAAACAAGCAGAGAAAGAAGGCAAGTTCTCCCTGGAACTAGTTGCAATCCCAAAACAGCGGAAAAAAGGCGGAAAGGTGAGATGCTCTCGTTAGTTGCGTTGAACCGCGGTCTTCGAGCAGCATGACTGTAGCGTCCGATTGATGTCAAGTGGTCAGTGTCTGCACATGTCTGAGCTCCCGGCTCGATCACTTGGGCCGCTTCGTCGATGACGATCTCAGTCTCAAAACCCTTTTTTCTCGCTCCGGAACCATCTGACTCTGCTGGATGTCTCAAAGAGTTGCACACACACTCTCTCTCTCTCTCTCTCTCTTCGGGCATGGCTCCTTGCAGGCTCACCAAGGCGACCGAGCAGCACAAACAGGAAAACCCCCCGGGCGGGGTGAGTCAAAAAGTCATGTCGTCCGAGCCACCGGTCGGACACGAAGAAAAGAGATGAGCCTATCATGGGCTGATGCTTCGGTCTTGGAAGGTATTGAATCTATTGAGAAATCATGAGACACCGCGATGGATCGGTGCTGTTTTTGCCAGCAACCTGGGGGTTCCGAGGCTGCACCTGCCATGCTCTTGAAAAAGCCGCGAATTGAAATTGTTACACTCTGGAATATTAACATGGAACCTGAAAACCACTGAGTTGTAGAGGAAAAGAGTCTTCCAAAGGTGCATTTTCAGGTTCCATGTTAATCATCCCGGGTGTATATAATGTTGTAGAGCGAAACATGAAGCAACCTATTATGGACACATCTGGTACCATCTCAATGTTGCGTCTGTACCATCTCAATCAACTGTTGTTCGATTGGACCTGTTGTTTCTACGGCCATTCCGGACTTGCGCGTCCGCCCGGTCGCTGGCGATCCGCACGAAGGGGAATTGGATCCGGTCCAGCGGGCCCATGCCGCAGCCAATGCAGGTGGCACACACCACCTAGGCATCGAGTTGTGGCCCAAAGAGATGGTTAGGAGGCCAGAAACCGAACAAGGCGAAATTAGGCAACATCATGGGCAAGTGGAAGCAGGGGCCAGGCAGCAACACATGCCCCATCATCGCTCAACGTAAACCTCGCACCGGTTGATGGACAAAAGAAACGACTCATTATGACGACTCCTTCCAATTCCGCTGAAGCACATCCAAACCACCACCACCCCCCGCCCCCGACTCCCAGTCCCAAGAACGGACCCCGACATCGAGGGATTTTTCCGGACATGTCGTCCTCGGCGCTCGCTTTTCACCTTCGCGTCTGGAATCCGCAAGGGAAGGTGCATTTTGCGATCCTGTTTTGATCTGTCTGCATAAAGACAGCTGACACCATTGCAGCCTGGCAGACGATTGTTCTAAGTGGCAACATCTGCGAGTCACGGCTTGGCATATATCCAAACATGAGCTGCGAATGATCAAGGCTCGACAGCATGCTTGATGCATCGTGTGGCAATACACGTATGACAGCATCCAAGGACCTTCCAGACTCGATGCCGGCATTGAGTCGGGCAACGGCCTACTTAGCCCTGCTCTGGCCACAGCCCAGGTTCTCTCGTCTTCTTGATTCTTCACAAAAAAATACAAAGAGCTCAAGGGTCCAGCCTCAAACTTCGGCACTTGCGTTGCTTGATCCACTCTAGTTGGCACACCCCCTCCATCGGCTGTTTTTGCAGGCGGCAAAAATGGTCGAAAGCATGTGGCATGTGGGGCCGGTGCTTTCTGTATCCATTGCACCCACCAAAATCCCTCCTCGAACGACACCCAGACAACTTACGCGCTGCAAAAGGCTGCTAACCCCCAACTCTCCGGAAGCTGTGGTTGCTCGGTTGTCTTGGGCAAGTGTTGATCAATTGCATCTGCTGCTCTTGGCACCTTGAAGCCCAGCAGCACGAACAAACCATTGCAGGCTTGCGATCTTGACCACCTTGGCCCCTCCTGGGGTTGCTGCTTTTCAGGCTGATTGAGGTCGTGGTGTTCCGAGGTCCGAACTTTTGCTTACAATGGCTTATTATGCTTCGTACATCTTCGTACCGTGTAAAAGCTTCTGCACAAACAGCTTCAGGTTGTCACGGTGAAAAGCAGCACGGAACCTTCGAGCAAAGGCCGTCGATCGAGTCACAAGCATCTAATAGGCAGCGCTTCCGCGCTTCCTCACATCATTAGCGCTTCGAGGTCATCAACGACCCTCTTGGCAGTCAGACCCGGAGCCCCATAACCTGGTAGGTTTCACCTCCCTTGTAGCTTGTAGCCTATTCTGTTCATTATCGGTGATCAACCAAAATCCCCCGGTTTCGACCCACAGCTGCATCATGTAGTCGAACGAACTTTTAGGCTTCCGCCATTGCAGGCCTGCCGGCGTTTCATGCTTGTGTCGCATTGGGGAGGTGAAAAAGGACTCACCAAAGGCTTAGACCCATACCGCGCAGCAACAAATGCCTTTCTGCCTGGAGCGACGGGAGCTGCGCAGAGCACAGCCGAGCACAGCCACCGCAGCCCACAGCTTCTGGCACATCGCATCTATTTGATCGCCTGCAGGCGAGACTCAGAATGACTCAAATGATCTCAAATGCATGAGAACTGCTAGCAGCGCATCGGAATTCGGTTCTTCTATGTCCGTACTATGTCACTATGTACTTTTTTGGGGGGGGGCAGGTGTATAGTATAGTTGTGTATTGTTTTTGCATGATGTGCGCCCGATGCAAGCATACTGCCATTGGACCCAAAAAACACATCCATTCAAATCCTATTTTATTGCAACATCTTGATAAAAGAACTACAAGTATATGTATATATATATATATATCTTGGAGGTCACTTGGGATGAACAAGTATAGTAGGCTCAAAGCAGTTAAACACCAGACACACCCAAATTGGTGAACATATCCATTTAAGCTACCTTCCCTGCTTCTTCTATATAATTAAAGCTTTTGGAGTTCAAAGCCCAAGGCCAGACACCTGCACCCAGCCTGAAGCCATTGGAAGACCTGGGTTGCTAACTCCACTTGCTCTGGACGCTTGTCTGGATGCCAGGTCAAGAAGAGTGGCCGCAGCAGTCGCTGCTTCTCCTCAGAGGATGAGACCTCACTGGACTGCAACTGGTGCTTCCTTAGATCAAGAAACAGCAGGACCATGCAGGACCTGGGGGCCTGGACCGGCCTGGAGGCCCAAAAAACACGAAGAATATACAGCTGAAATAGACAGGGGTGACTAGGATTTTCAACATTTGACATCTCACTCGTATCCGAATGGGCGTGTCTCGCCTGGGCCCCTCCCCAAGACAAAGGTACAGTAAGAAGTCTGCAATGAATTCGTTCGGGAAACTGTCCTTCTTCAAGCTCATGAAAAAGGAGTTATTTCAAGGCTGCTGTCTCAGGCCAAATGGTTGAACTGGCAACCCACAGCAGCGGTTCTGTTCCCGAAGCAGGTGCCATTCGATCGATATATGAATGATATATATATGCCCCAAATCATCCCCAATCCCTAACCATTAAACTAAAACGTGCAGTCCGGCTTCAAGCTTGAAACCGCCTTCAAAACTTCTTCGTCCAGTGAAACCTCTGGTGGAAACTGCCAGCCTTGTCCGGACGGAACGTCCACCGCCGTGCTTCGACCCTTCCGGGGACCCGCTTCACGCGGAGAGCGCGGAGGAGCGGACGGACCATAGTTGGGTCCTGTCGGCGCAGCACTTCCAGTGCTTCCAGTGGCAAACTCCTGGGCGGAGTGTGATAAGGGTGTGAGATTCCAAGTGGTGCTGGGCAGTGTGGAATTTGACGCTAGATGTTTTTGAGTTGACCCGATCGATTACGGAGGATCCCCTGCAATCCCCTGCACCCTCTGCACCCTCCAACGTGGACAAGAAGGATTCCTGTCGCGATTCACCTTGACTCACTATGACTCACTATCTCCACCACTTGGGTCGCAAGCCGTCGATCCCGTTCTTGGTGTTCATCAAGCTAAGAAGGGTAAGAGATGGTAAGATGGAAGTATGAAGCGCCTTGCAGTTTCAATGAAAGCAGAACCACCGAAATGCCACCGCTTGTGGCAACGGCCCATTTCCATGTGTGTCGGTGTCACTCTAGGCTTTGGTGAGGCCTTCGCCCGCCTGTCCACAACCAAAACACTTCATAAGACTTAATAGAACCATACACATGGGGGTTCACAAGCCGGCCTATATAAGCTGGCCAAAATCTGGCATGGGTGGGGGGTCAACATCCGGCGGCACGTCAACACCAAGACTCCGTTCCGATGTTGTCTAAGTTTCCGTCAGGGAAATGCTCCTTCCACCTCGAATGCCCGTTGTGGGGCTCAGGTTCCAAGCCAATCCCAGTCTTCATTAGACACTAGACACCAGCTGGGTAGATTCTGCAGTTGTCACCGTCTTAGATTAGATTAGATTAGATTCTGGGCTGCAACCGGATCGTAACCTACCGCTGAGGGATATTGAAATCAAACCAACAGCCCTGCCTCAGAAAAGGGTTCTCTCGTTCGAACGGTGCTGGAAGTTCCTCTGCAGATTTCCCACCGCGAGACAGTAGCCTCTCAACCATCTGCTTCTCTTTCTTCGTTTTCCGCGCGCGGGCACAAACCTGGGATCATCGAGCATCCCTGCGGGGAACGCACCCGCAGCTTGTGGCATAACCCCCTGAAGTGCTGGGTGGGCTCGCAAATTAAGGATCAACTCGGACTAAACCCGGGATTTCTGGAAAAGTGGTGAGGGAAAACTGCACTCGAGCCTGGGTTCTGGATCTCGCAAAAAGAACACCGTACAACGATATCATATAAGGAACGCGGCCAACATCCAGCGCAGTGTAAAACTTGTAGGCTGCGGACAAGGACCATTCGCAGCATACAGCGTTCACATCTAGTAGATGTTGGTAGCTCAAGAGCAGGTCGAACATGTCCTATAGGAAATGCTCAAACCCCTCGACCTACAAGCACGTCTCTATACTGCTCCAAATCCCGTTGTCCTGATGGCCCTCTTCCACTGCTGCGATCAATGGCGTCTTTTCTTCAATGAAGTAGAAGCGCGACCGGGCTTCACAAAGGAATCCCAGCCTTAGTCAACCAATTCTAATTCTTCTTTCATATCCTTCATCCAATTCTATGACCGCCGTGGGCCCAAGGGTCTGGGTGGTCACCAAGTCTGATGGACCTGGGGAACCTGGCCCTCTATTGAACAGCCGGAAGGCACCCCGTAGCGCTGGAACCTGCCGGACCTAGCTAGCAGGCTGCGGATACCACACGGGTGGTATATCATTTCTGGTGAACCGCAGCTTAATTTGCATCACCTTAGAAGGTACATCATGGTACGCATGTTGGCACTGACGTTGACATATTATGTTGACTGCTAATAAAAAGAATATTTATTTAATGATCCCCTCTACCAGAACTCCATATCAGTCCAGAAGCTTGGGTTCAGAACGCTCACCAGGACGAACGCTAGGCCCTAGGCATTCTAGGGTACTGTGCCCTAGTAGTGGAGACATTAGGTGCCTCCTCAGAACCTCGGACTGACTTCGAAAAACTGTCCAAGCCACTTCTCAGGCACAATGCTGTTTGGGTTGGACTTCATCTCCATGCGTTCACGAAAGGGGTCCAGTTCCCCACTTCGAGCCATGGAGACTAAGTCTCGATCATGCTTGTAAAGGTCTGGTAGGTGGATGGCGATATAGTCCATGTCCAAAAGTGAAGCACCCATCCTCAACCAAAAGTGGCGGAAAAAGGCTTGCATTGAATGCTGTGGAATGCCTTCTGGACATGACAATGGATGCTTCTGGAAATGGTTGGTTTGGCATTTAACTCATGATAACTGATGGCATCTCCAAGTTGAAGCCCAGCAACTGAAGATTCTTCGCGAAGTCCTCATCCTCCGCGCGTGCTCCGCGTGCGCGGTCTTTTCATCCCTCCACTCGTCGGTC